GAGGGTTTCAATCGGAATACTTCTGTGGAGGGTTTCAATCGGAATCCTTCTTGTGAAGGGTTCCACTAGGAATCCTTATATGGAGGATTCCTAGTGGCGGGTTTCAATATGTGGAGGTTCCACTAAGACTCCTTCTTGTGGTTGGTTTTTAACATTTCAATAGGAATCCTTCTGTGCAATATTGGAATGGGAATTCCATGTTTGGGGTTCCCCAGTTTTTCCTTGCCATGCGCTTATCAAAATAAACGTACTCCTCTTTCCTCTTCCGCCTGCCTCCTGCCTCCTGCCTCCTGCTCCTCCTTCCTCCTCCTCCGCCGCCTCCACCCTCCTCCACCTCCTCCTTTTACTCCTCCTCATCCTCCTCCTGCTCCTCCCCTCCCGGTCCTCTCCATGCCGCCGTTCGCTCCCCAGGGGGAGGGAGGGGCTGAATAACCACAAAAACATAAGAAAAAACAGCAAAAAACAAAGAAACCAAAGACCGACGGCTGAACCCCCCCCACCCCCCCCCACCCAAAAAAAACACACAAGACCCCCCCCAAAAAAAAATACAAACTAATCTACACTTTGTGCGCCCCCACCACCCACCCCCTGACCAAATGCCAAAAACTTGTTATTTGATTTATTATTTCTTTTGATTTTCGGCTGCCGATCTTTGGTTTGTTTGTTTTGCTTGTTGTTTCGTCTTTTCTTTTTGTTTCGTTCGCCCCTCGCAAGGATGCCACGCACGTGGATCCTCTTCAAACGAAGGGCAATGGCAAGACACCGATGAAGATACGGCGGAGGAGCAGGGAGGATGAGGAAGAGGAGGGGAGAAGAAGGAACGAACAGAGGAAGGAAGGGGAGTTAGAAAGAGAGCGTCTCCGTTTGAGGCCATTTCAGGGCCGACAGCGTTCCACCCTCATCCAGTCTGTTGCTCTCGCCCCCCCCCCCCGGCCCGCGGGAGGTGGGGGGGTGCCAGAGGTCAAACATTCCGAAAAAATTGGAGCGGCGGGTTTTTGGCTGTTTTCGGCCTTCGGGGGCCCTCGCTGGGCCTCGGGACCGTCAAAAACCACTCAACGCGGAAAACTGGCCCTACGGGGAAGTGGTCCAGACTTCCGAGGACCGCACACCGAACAAATTGGAGCAGCCGGGTGTCCGGGAGGGAACGGAAGAGGGACCCAGAACCCCGCCGTCATGGCGTTTCCACCGCGTGGGCCCCCAGAGATCGGCCCTTTCCCGAGGACCGGCGGGAGAAGGCGGGAGGCCGGAGGGGGGGCGGGAGGGCGGGGAGGGCGGGACGGCGAAAGGGAAGGAGACGAGGAGGGAAACAAGGAGCTAAGGGCGACCCGGACCCCGACGTCGGTGCCCCCCAGAGACATCAGCTCCTTCCCGCCCGGAGCCGTTCTGTAGACGGTCCCCAGGGCCCGGCGACGGCCCCCAGCGGCCGAAGATATAGAAAAGCAGGCCGTCGTGATTTGTCTTACGACGCGTGGTGGGGAGGAGGAGGAGGAGGAGGAGGAGGAGGAGGAGGAGAAGGAGGAGGGGGAGGGGGAGGAGGAGGAGGAGGAGGAGCAGGGAAGGAGGAGGAGGAGGAGGAGGAGGAGGAGGCGGAGGAGGAGGAGGAGAGGAGGAGGAGAAAAGGAGGAGGAGCAGGAAAAGGAGCAGGAGCAGGAGCAGGAGCAGGAGGAGGAGGAGCAGGAGGAGGAGGAGGAGCAGGAGCAGGAGGAGGAGCAGAAGGAGGAGAAGGAGGAGCAGGAGGAGCAGGAGGAGGAGGGGAGCGGGAGCAGGTCTGAGAGTGATGCCTCGATGTAGCGGTTCCCCATCCACTTGCCGTGGAGCACCTGCTGAGCAATGTCGGCGTCCGCCCTGCAGCGCATCTGCACCACCGCCTTGCAGGGACACGAAAGGTACCGATACCGATACTCTCCGGACCACTCCCGGGGTGCGCTCTGACCATATTTTCGGGGCGCCTCCAGCCGTGGCGACGAAGGCCCCCCGGGAGGCCAACAAAAGGCGACGACGAGGCAGGGGCAGCGGTATCGCTACGGCAGTTTCGTGTCGTGCCGACTTCGGCATTGGTTCCTGACACCGCGGGGGTCGTTCAACCTTGAACGGTCGGCCATTTCCTGATCGTCCTATCGTTCAACATCGACCGATTCTGGGCCGCTGGCGGCGTTCAACGTTGAACACCGGCGGCGGGGTCGCCGCCAGTCGACACGACGCGGACCTGCCACAGAGGTGTCGGTATTGGTACATTTCTTGCCATCGCTCGGACATCCATTCCCCGTGCATTTCGCGGCTTCGTTCGTTTGGGTTTTCGCAAGATGATCCAAGATGCTCCTCGATGGTCGTCGCCGAGGAAAAAAAACACGCGTCCGAGCGATGCCACGATTTCCCTCCTCCGACGCCTGCCCCGTCGGCCGCCCGTTCGCCCGCAGCAGCAGCGCCACCGCGCGCGGGCCTGGAGGGGACAAGAGAAACGGCATAAAAAAGAACCAAGCTTTCGGAGCTCCGCGCGGATTCCTCGGATCGGCGCTGGACCCCCCTGGCGGATCTCGGGTCTTGAAGGGATCGCGACGGGAAGTCTTCGGCCGTGTTCGGCCTCTGGGGGCCCTCGCCGGGCCCCGGGACCGTCAGAAAACGGCCCAGGATGAGAAGCCAGTCCCAGGGAAGGGGTCCTGGCGTCTGGGGAGCCGCGCTGCGGAAAAATCACGACGTCGAGTCTTTGGGTGCAGCCAAGGCGCTGAAGCAAGGACCATCTTGGGCTCAGGAGGGGCTCTTGTTTTCGGGCCTCTCCTTAGATCCAGGTCGTAACACCTCCTCGTGGCCGAGGCTCGCCGTTGTGACCAGAAGCGCCCCTGTTCAGCATGTCCTCATGGTAGCACGCTGGCTGTCAACATTAGAATTCGGAGCTCCGCGCGGATTTGTTGGATCAGCACTGGGCCACCTGGCGGCTATAATTGTCTTGCTGCGTACATCGGCGGCGGGCCAAGGGGGAAAGTAAGAAGGAACAGGCCTTCGAGAAGGCGGCGGGGCTTCTGAGAAGCCTCGCCGACCTTTTTGGGGAAAACGGCATGAGCTCCGCGTTGATTCCTTGGATCGGCGCTGGGCCCCCCTGGCGGCGCCTCTGCCGCCGCCCACGGCGCGCTCAGCCTGCTGGGGAGGGGGCCCGGCGCCGATGCAAGAAAGCCGCGCGGACCTCTGAAAGTACATGCTTACAGCCAGCGCGCCACCATAAGGACGTGCTGAGCAGGGAACGGAGGGACGCTTCTGGCCACGAGGATGTTCTACGACCTGGATATCAGGAGAGTCCCAAAAGACCAGAGCCCCTCCTGAGCCCAAGATGGTCGTTGTTTCGGCGCCCTGGCTACACCCAAACACCCGACGTCGTGATTTTACTCACAAGGCGGCCCCCCAAACGTCTGGACCCCTTCCCCAGGACTGGCCTCTCATCCCGGGCCGTTTTCTGACGGCCCCTGGGCCCCGCGAGGGCCCCCAAAGGCCGAACACGGCCGAAAACCTCCCGCCGCGATCCCTTTAAGACCAAAGGGGGTCGGTATGCCGTGTCTTGCCAGTGGAGGGCCGTCGGCGATGAGCTCCACGATGTCGTGCTGCGCGAAGAACGCCAGCACGTCCTTCGGCGGCGAGCACAGGGGGGAGTCAGAGGGGGCGGGCCTTATCAGAAGGCCCCCAGCATTCTGAGAAGTGTTCCAGGCCCTCTCCGAAGACGCGGATGGCTTCTCAAAAGGCCGGAAGGTTTCAAAAAAAAAAAACGCCGCCTTCGGAGAAGGCCTGCCCCGTCTTGGGCCGTCTGGGTGCTCTCTTGGGGGCCTCTCAGGCCGTTTTGGGGCGACCTTTGGGGCCTCTTGAGTCTTGGAGCAACGGAAGGCCGATAAAGCGAAAACGCGAAAAACTGACAAACACCATAGGACATCAACGCAATTCGCCTCTCAGAGCCCTCTTGGAACCCCTCTGGGGAGCCTCCCGGGGCGTCTTGGGGGCTGTCTGGGCCGTGCAGGGGCCATCTGGGATGGATTGCACTGCGTTGCATGCATTGCACTGCGTTGCACTTGCATTGCATTGCATGTGCAGTATTTGCTTTGCAGTACATTGCTGGCGAGGGTGAAGGACAAGAGGGAGGAGAAGGGAGGAAGGTAGAGAGGAGGGAAGGAAGGAGGAGTGAGGAGGGAGGAGGGGGGAGGAGGGGATGAGGAGAAGGGGGGATGGGGGGGGAAGGAAGGATGAGGGAGGATGAAGGACGGAGGAGGAAAGGGGGATGGAGAAGGACGAGGAGGAGGATAGGATAGAATTGCTGTTCGCCTCCCTGGCCCTCGTCATCGTCGTCATAATCATCATCGTCGTCCTTCTCGTCGTCGTCCTCGTCGCCGTCCTCGTGGCATTATGTTTGTTTCGGCTCCCGCGGCGCTGCCACGTGACGACTAGAATTGAATACGATGTCTTCGCGCCTACAGGCGTTGCCACGTGGCGAGTGGGGAGGCATAGTATTTTTTGTCGGCCGTCGCAACGTTGCCACGTAACGAATGGAGTGAAATAGTTTGTTGTTTAGACCCCGCGGCGCTGCCACATGACGAGTATAATGGATGGAATATTGTTTCCTCGCACCCCCAGGCGTTGGCATGTGGCGCGTGGAGTGGCTAAGTATCTGTTGTTGGCCCCCGCGGCGATGTCACGAGACGAATCGTGGAATAGTATGTTGTCGGTCTCCGCCAGGCGGTGCCACGTGGCGAATAGTGGAGTAGTACTTTTTGTCCAGCCCCCGCGGCGCTGCCACTTAACGAGCAGAGTGGCGCTGCCATGTGGCAGCCGTTCAATCAACCAGCCAACCAACCTACCTGCCTACCGACCGACCAACCACTAGCCAACCAACCAACCAACCAGTCAACCAACGATCCTGTTGCGTTGCATGCATTGCGCTGCGTTGCATTTGCGTCGCATGTGCAATATTTGCAGTGCAATACATTGCGGGCAAAGGGGAGGACAAGAAGGAAGAGAAGGGAGGAAGGTAGAGAGGAAAAGGGGAAAAGGAGGAGTGAGGAGGGAGGAGGGGGGAGGAGGGAATGGCGTCCTCGTCGCCGTCCTCGTGGCATAATGTTTGTTTAGGCTCCCGCGGAGCTGCCACGTGACGACTAGAATGGAGCATGATTTCTTTGCGCCGGCAGGTGTTGCCACGTAGCGAGGGGAGTGGCATTGTATTTTTTGTCGGCCCCCGCAACCTTGCCACGTGACGAATAGGAGAGGAATGGCTTGTTGTTTCGACCACCGCGGCGCTGCCACGTGACAAGTAGATTGGATGGAATAACGTTTCTTCGCGCCTCCGGGTTGCCACGTGGCAAGGTGAGTGGGTATTTTTGTTCGGCCCCAAGCGACATTGCCACGTGACGTATGTTGTGGAATAATATGTTCTGTCGCCCCCCAGGCGGTGCCGCGTGGCGAATTGAGTGGAATATATGTTTCTCAGCCCCCGCGGCGCTGCGACGTGACGAGTAGAGCCGAATAGTATGTTGTCGCCCGCCAAGGCGTTGCCGCGTGGCGAGTGGAACGGAACGGTTTTCAGCCCCGCGGCGCTGCCACGTGACGAGGCACACATTGCGTTTCAGCGCATTGCATTGCAGCGCATTGCATAGCGTTGCGTTGCATGGTATTGTGTTGCATAGCGTTGCGTTGCGTTGCATTCCATTGCGCTGCGTTGCGTTGCATTGCGTCGCGTTGTATTGCATGCTGTTGCGTTGCATGTCTTTGACCTGCGTTACATGTGCATTACAGCTGCAACACAATGCATTGCAGTAAATTGCGGGCGAGGGGGAGGAGGAGGAGGAGGAGTCGGGCGCCCAGGGTCGGTCTCCCGAAGGCCGCCCGTGTATCGCACACGCCCAGCCAACGAACTACCGCCCGGAGAGCAGCAACAGCTGCACAGGAAGGGCACAGGGGGCGACCACGTCGCCTGCGAAGACTCGAGGCCCAGCGGTTCCGACATGGTGCGTTGGGAGCCAAAGGCATCCCAGTCGGAACAGCTGGCACGGCAAACCGAGGAGCACAGGGCACCTTGGGACTTACGTGGCACAGGCTCCCCAGCCCTGGGTGGGCACAGGGCCCCTTGGGACTTACGCGGCACAAGCCACCGCATCCCGAGGAAATGCCGATCCCTTAGGGTCAGATCACAATGAAATGACCGCACAGGCGCCGCCACCCGCCTTCACCCGCAGGGCCAGGCTGAGACTGGGGCCGTGCTACGCCCAACGACGGGGGACCCGTCGATACAGGTTTCGCAACGTCCAAACCCCAGAGCCCGCAGTACCAGAAAAATCGGCCGGTTGCACCCCGCCCAACCTGCAAATTAAGTGCCGTGTACAGTGTGCCCCGAGGGTGCTCGGCACTGACACCATGAAACAGGTGCCAGGCCTCACCCGGGGGGGGAAGGAGGAGGAGGAGAAGGAGGAGGAGGAGGAGGAGGAGGAGGAGGAGGAGGAGGAGGAGGAGGAGAGAGCAGAACGGAGGAAGGTACAGAGAAGAGGAGGGAAGCAGGAGGAGTGAGAAGGGAGGACGGGGTAGGAGGGGAGGGAGGAGGGATGGGAGAACTGGCCAACCACCCGGTCAAGCTGGCAACCAGCCACCCAGCCACCCAACCAATCAACCAGCCAACCAGCTGGTCAACCAACGAACCAACCACCCAACCAACCAACCAACCAACCAGCCAGCCATCCAACTAACCAACCAACCCCGTCGCCTCGGGAAAAATTGACCCAGAAACCAGTGAGGCGACCCGCCAGCCAACCGACCAACCAACCCACCAACCAACCAACAAATCGCCCAAACAATCAACAACCAATCCACCAATCAACCCACCAACCAACCAACCAACCAACCAACCAACCAACCAACCAACCAACCAGCCACCCCGGTACACAAAGCCAACCAACCAACAAATCGCCCAAGCAATCAACAACCAATCCACCAATCAACCCACACACCAACCAACCAACCAACCAACCAACCAACCAGCCACCCCGGTACACATAACCAACCAACCAACCAACCAACCATTCAACCAACCAACCAACCAACCAACCAACCAACCAACCAACCAACCAACAAACCAACAAACCAACAAAACCAACCAACCCACCAACCCCAGCCAACCAACCCAAAACCGACGAACCCTTCCCCAAAGATTTTTAGAGGATATTCCACGCCGCGGGGCCCGGAAGACATTTCTTTGAGTCGGATTTCATTTTAAGGCCGGAATAAAATATATGAGGCCGCTCCCGAGGAGGAGGAGGAGGAGGAGGAGGAGGAGGAGGAGGAGGAGGAGGAGGAGGGGGAGGCGGAGGCGGCGACGGCGGCGGCGGCGGCGGAGGAGGAGGAGGAGGAGCAGCAGCAGGAGTGAGGCATGTTCCCTCTCACTTCCCGCCCCCTGGGCGCGCCGCCGAGTCCTGCTCGCTGGACGTGAACGGCAGGCCACGCAGGCGGAGCGGGGCTTGCCCGCCGCCCGCGGGAGGCGGCCTCGGCCCGGGCGAGCGCTGGGCAGGGGCGCCGCCCCGAGGCCCGACATGTCCGACGGCCCGGCCCAGGACCTACACCCTCCGCCTCTGGCTCCTCCCCCTCCCCCTCCACTCCACTCTCCTTCTCTTCCTGCTCCTCGTCCTCCTCCTCCTCCGTCCTGGCGCCCCAGCACCAGAGTGCCGAGCTGTCCTCCCCCCCCAACCTTGTCTTCTTGGCCGATTCACCTGCGAGCCGGCCCGTCGATAGGCTGCTGGTTATCAGGATGCCTGCACCCTCCCAGCAAAGCTCAGCTGACTGAGTCACCCGAGTTCCACGACCGACCTCCTCCTCGTCCTCCTCCTCCTCCTCCTCCTGCTCCTCCTTCTCTCCTCCTCCTTCTCCTTCTGCTCCTCCTCCAGCTCCTCCTCCTCCTCCTCCTCCAACTCCACCCTCCTTCTCCTTCTCCTCCTCCCCCGCCTCCTCCCCTTCCTCCGCCTCCTGGTTCTCCTCCTCCTCCTCCTCCTCCTCCTCCTCTTCTCCTCCTCCTCCTCCTCCTCCTCCTCCTGCCCCTCCTCCTCCTCCTCCTCCTCCTTCTCTTCCTCCTCCTCCCCCTCCTGCCTCCAGACCCGCAACCTCCGACGACGTGATGCTTTCCCAACCATAGGACACGCAAGGACATGCTCGCACGATGTGCTGATGCTGGAGGCGCACGGCCGACACGAACACTGGGGGCCCATAAATCTAAGCCATCTGGGCCATCTGGGCATTTCAGCCCGTTCTCACAGTCCAGGGCAGCGCGCGACGGCCCATGGTTGGTTTGAGGGAGGAGCGCCGAGACCAACCGCGAGGCTTATCACTCCTTCCGCCTCCCGCGGTGGACTTACTCGTGTAGCCGTCTGGGCCACAGGAGGCCTACAAATCTGCATATGTCCCGCTCTACCTGTCCAAGGATGCGCGCGACGGCCTGTGGCAGGTTTGCTACATCCTGGTGTCACCGAGCATCCTGTGGTGTTGGGGCCTCGCGTTGAATCAGCAGCGCCCAGCGGCGCCTCCTCCTCCTCCTCCTCCGCCTCATCACCACCACCACCACCACCACCACCACCATCATCATCATCATCATCATCATCATCATCATCATCATCATCATCATCATCATCATCATCATCATAACCAGCATCATCAGCATCATCATCAGCATCATCATCATCACCAGCATCAGCATCATCATCAGCATCAGCATCACCAGCATCAACATCATCATCATCAGCAGCAGCATCACCCTCCTCCTCATCGTCATCATCATCATAGTCATCATCAACATCAGCATCAGCATCAGCATCAACATCAGCATCATCATCATCGTCATCATCATCATTATCAGCATCATCAGCAGCATCATCATCAACATCATCATCAGCATCTGCATCATCAGCATCATCAGCATCATCATCAACAACATCATCATCAGCATCAGCATCAGCATCAGCATCAGCATCAGCATCAGCATCAGCATCAGCATCATCTTCACCATAACCATCAATCACATCATCATCCTCATCATACTCATCATTATCATCATCAGCATCAACATCATCATCATCATCATCATCATCAGCATCATCATTATCATCGTCATCATCATCATCAGCATCATCAGCAGCATCAGCATCAGCATCAGCAGCAGCATCAGCAGCATCTTCATCAACACCGTCATAGTATCATCATCATCGTCGTCATCATCATCACCATCATCATCATCATCATCATCAGCATCATCATCATCAGTACCATCATCAGCAGCATCAGCAGCATCAGCATCACCATCGGCATCACCAGCATTGCCATCATCATCAGCAGCATCATCAGCATAACCATCATCATCATCAGCACCACCATCGTCATCATCAGCATCATCGTCGTCATCATCATCATCAGCATCATCAGCATCATCATCATCATTATCAGCCTCATGGTCGTCATCAGCATCACCATCACCTCCGCCGCCACCACCACCAGCATCATCATCATCATCATCATCAGCATCATCATCATCATCATCAGCATCATCAGCATCATCATCATCATTAGCATCAGCATCATCATAAGCAACATCAGCATCAACATCCGCATCTTCCTCATCCTCATCCTCATCCTTATCCTCGTCCTCATCCTCGTCCTCGTCCTCGTCCTCGTCCTCGTCCTCGTCATCGTCGTCCTCATCCTCATCCTCGTCCTCATCCTCGTCCTCGTCCTCCTCATCCTCATCATCGTCCTCATCCTCGTCCTCATCCCTCATTTCTCCTCCCTCCTTCTCCGCATCCCTCCTCCCTCCTCCCACGCCTGCCTCTGCCCTCCGCACTCCTCTGCATCGGCACGCCCCTCGCATCTCTCCGTGGCCCAACGAGGGGGAGCGGGGGAGCCCCACCGAAAGGGCCCCGGGTGGTCCCCGCCAGGGTCCGTGCACCCTGGGCCGCCCGCAGGCCCCGGGGCGCGAGGCGGATCTCGCCTCGTGCCTCGCGGCTCCCGCCGAGACGGTGCTCCTCGAGGTTGGCGGCGCGAGAGCGCGCAGATCGAGGGCGAGGACGGCGACGACGGCGACGACGACGACGAACGGTTGGCGGCGCGAGCGTGCGAAGATTGGCGGCGCGCACAAGCGCGTAGGAGGAGGAAGGCTTCTTAGATGGAGGCTGCTTCGCAGAAGGCGCTGGCCTTGCATCTACAGACAAGGCCAGCGTCTTCTGAGAAGCAGGGGTGCTTCTAAACAGCCTTCCCCTCTCCCCCTACCTACTCCCCTCTGCGAGCAGCCGCTCTGCGGCACTGATCGCGCCGGATGGATCTGTGCTGGTCCCAGCGGGGAAACTAAGAGGCACCGACACCGCCACCCTCTGGACCTCTCCCAGGGTTGAGGGGCAACGATAGGGGCGGACTGGCATAGGGGGGATGCATCGACCTCGAATCGGCGATACACCGCCGATAAATCGGCGATAGGCCTCCGATCGTGAATCCGCACCTTGCTGGGCAGGTTGGGGCTATCGAGCCACTATCGGCGATCAATGTGCGATTGGGGGTCGATTTGTCACCCCCTATGCCCATCCCACCCTATCGTTGCCCCTGAAGGGTGCGTCCTGACCAAGATTTCGAAACGAATCCAGCGGTAGCGACGAGGGCCTCCCAGGAGGCCGAAAAAGGGTAAAACGAGGGAAGGGTGCCAGAGATCCGATGTCGTGATTTATTCAATACGGGGCCCCCGGAAATCTCGACCCATTCCCCAGGACCAACTTTTCATCCTGAATCGTTTTCTGACGGCCCCGGGGCCCAGCGAGGGCCCCTGGAGGCCGCAAGCTGGGAAAAAATCGTCCTGACTTTTTCGACACGTTGGATGTCGAGGGCAATGGCATCGACACCTCTTCCTCTTCCGACACGGGGCGCGCCGAAAAGACGGGCTTTGAAGAGCCGAAGGGCGGCCGCGGGGACTCCTCGAGAGCCGCCGCGAGCCGACGAGGAGGCCCGAGCCGTCGAGGGGGAGGGGGAGGGGAAGGGCGAGGAGGGGGAGGAGGAGGAGGAGGAGGAGGAGGAGGAGGAGGAGGAGGAGGAGGAGGAGGAAGAGGAGGAGGAGGCGGAGGAGGGGTAGGAGGAGGGGGAGGGGAAGGAGGAGGAGGCCCGAGCCGTCGGGAGCCGACGAGAGCCGACGAGGGTGGAGTCGACGAGAGTCGAGTAGACGAGAATCGACGATCGGGCGCGGCCGAACCGACCCCGAGTGATGAGGCATAAACGGACCCCTATTGGGAGGCGACCTAAGTTAGGAGGGCCAGAAACATTAGGAACAGGGGGTCTGTTCTACAGATGTGTCGAACCAAACCACCCAGATTCAGCATCCCTGATGCAAGGACAGTGCCCTCAGTGAGGCCACGTCTTCACTCTGTTATAACATTAGAACCCGGGGTTATCCCATCCTCAATGACCTAGCAAGCCATCCCGTTCTGTGACGTCGCCCTCGCCTTTCAAGCTTCCCTCCGGCCGCATACACACGTCGACCCTTGGGGCGAGGCGGGGGGAACGGCACGGAGGGGGTGGTTTGCTAGGGGTCGGTGATTGGAGGCTTGGAAATGGGCACCAACACCAAAACAAAGGGTTGCCTCCACCAGGGGAAGACGATCCTAGATCTCGGTGTTGGTTGCAATGCTTCGGCCACCTAATTAGGAAGTCCGACTACTACCACCGTCACCGAGATCCGTATCATCTTCCCTCCATGGAGGCACACCGCCAACATCGGTGTTGGTGTCAACTTCCAGGCCTCCGAGGTCAGGCAGCCCCTGAGACGAGTCGAGTCGACGAGGAGGCCCGAGCCGTCGAGGGGGAGGGGGAGGGGGAGGGGGAGGAGGAGGAGGAGGAGGAGGAGGAGGAGGAGGAGGAGGAGGAGGAGGAGGAGGAGGAGGAGGGAGGAGGAGGAGGAAGAGGAGGAGGAGGAGGAGGAGGAGGAGGAGGAGGAGAGGGGGGCGAAGGGGGGAGGAGGAGGAGGAGGAGGAGGAGGAGGGAGGAGGAGGAGGAGGAGGAGGAGGAGGAGGAGGAGGAGGAGGAGGAGGAGGAGGAGGAGGAGGAGGATTGTTTGCAACATCAACGCCAGAGAAGCACAGCACCCTCCACGCCTGCACAGGTGGAGAGAAGTGCGCTGAGCGGATCGACCCTTATACAGGTCAGGGTCGACCGCAGCGGCTGGCACGGGACGCGGCCAGCTCGCCTCGCTGCGGCGGGCAGGGCCTCGACAGCAGCGATCGGCCGCACCAGCTGAACTGAGCGGCGAGAAAAAAGGGAAAAAAGAAGCGAGGCCAAAACTGACGGGCTCCGAAACGAGGGAAAGGCAGGAGCCCACCCAGCATCTCCCACATTGGGAGGATGCCGCGTGGCCAGCCGCCTCTACCCCTGGCGCCTGTCAGTCGGAGTCGTCCTCGCGTTGTCCAGGAGGCTGGACAAGAGGAGCGTCGTCCTCATCTTGAAGGAGGGCGGCACGCACGGCACTCAGG